AAAATACTATCTTATTTATGAAATTTAAATAACATCCAATAATATCGCCAGTAGTGTATGTTGGTCCATACGGCTCTGCATTTCCAGAACAAAAAAAATATCCATCGTCACCATGGTAACCACATTCCCACGATTCATTTTTTTTATTTTCATTATTTTCATTATTTTCCTGTCCTAAAGGATATTATAACATAGATGTTAATATGTAATCATAAGAAATAATAATAAAATAAAAAATTTTGGTAATACCAAGCACAAGCATGTTCTTTATATAATCAGTTTTTTCATTTGAATCGTCTATTTTTTTAACATTTTGTTTTGTACTGTATCCGATTCCAATCATTCTATTAAAAAAAATAATAATTAAAAAAAAGATTGAGGGACTAAAAGTGATGTTTATGGCATGAAATAATTATTAGTATTACCCATTTTTCCCTCTATTTATAATTTCAATTTCAAAGTAATATACTCCACACCGTAAAGGGATTGGATGATTCGCTCGAACTATAGCAGCTTTATCAGGGCCTTTAATTAAAAGTTTTTTAATAAATTAGCAAGCTGTGTGTTGTTTGCGATTAACACTCATCAAATTGAGATGTTAGCCCAATAAAATATGGTTCTGCAAAGATTCTCATTTCCATATTACCCATATATTTCACTTTAAGACCACCCGAATATATTATAATAAATGGTGACTTATTTTCAATATCCCATGCTGTCGGTAAAGCATCATCATTGTGAGAATCTTCCATTGAGTTAATATTCGCAGATGAGAGAATCGTCAATGTGACAATTATTTGGTTTTTGTTTTTTTTAAAAAATTTAGGTTATTTAGATTTTTGATCAGAGAACAATTAGTGAACAGAAATCACAGCAATTTATATGATTTTTTGTACGTACGTATGTAGCACTTGCATGTTGCACATCAGCCGTCCCTAATGCTAAAGCCTCGGCCATTCATGCTTGTGCATGCTGATACAATAACAATAATATGTAAACCCTTATCTGTCACACTAACTGTATCACTGCAAATTCTGATTATGATTGACTAAGAGATGTTATCGAAATTTAAGCCGAAATTAATCAAAAATTACTAATGGAACCATGACAGACCACTGAGCGAGAAATGATTATGTGCTTAATTTTACTCTAGAGCAAGCCTATTTCTCAAATTTTTAAAAATTAAAAGGTAGCCATGCACGTCAGTCCTCTTTACAGCTGTTATCATAAATTCTGAGACATCTAATGATTTTTCAAATTTCAGCATGATCGGTTTATAAAAGCTGCCACATATAACACTTGCTCTACAGATCGTTAGAACGTTAACATACTTAATATTGTTAAAATTTTCGTCAGATGCTTATCCAACAAGTTTGATGTGTTTAGTTTGTACTAGAGTTGCAGGTGAAACTAATTTTCAATGGTGCACCGATGGAGCACCAGGTGAAACTGGTGCACTGATGGTTATAGATGAAACTAATCTTCAACGGTGCACCGATGGTGCGCCGTTGGTGCACCAGTTTTCTGGTGAAATGAATTAGTTTCACCAGCAACTCTAGTTTGTACGAAAAATTATAACCCGAACTGACGCAAATATATGTAATAGTTATTTCACGGATCATAATATTCTTTTATCAATATTTTACAATTTTTATTCCCACAGTGATTTTTTATACATTCTTTTCATATACTTTTTCACTTTTTTTTTAAAAAAAAAAGATTAATCAAAAAAAGGAGAAACTTTCTAAATTTAATATTACGAAATTTCTAACCCAAGTTTTAAGAGTGCAAGATTAGTATTAGAGGAAGCTCAATCTCTAGAGCATTCAACTACATTTACACCTAGCGTTGATGAAGAAAAAAGTAAAGCTGCTTACTATTGGGAAAAAGCAAAAAATAAAAATACTAAATTAGTAACTAAAAACTGGGTAAAAAGATTTGAAGAATTTCACATTGACTCAGAATATTTAGATCCATTAACTACCATTAACAATATTAAGCAACTAGAAGAACAGAAAAGATGGAAATAAATATAAGGCAAACTCTATAAAGCAAGCTGTTGATGCACTTAGTCGTTACCTTCTTTATAATTTACCATAACAATAAGCTTTTCATAAACTATAAACTATATGTTTATTCTCTTCAGATTTTACAGCATTTTGCTTGCAAATATCACTTAAAATTTGATCTTCACGTTTTCTTTTTCGGCTTTCATTTATACGGTTGAACACTCAAAACATGTTTTTTGATTACTTTTAAATGCAATAATGGGTTTTATAGTTCGATAAAACGAACAAAGTTTGAATTTTCCATTTTATTATTATTATTATTATTAATCAAATGTCGTCATTATTGTATCAATAATTAAATTTAATGCCGGAAAGTAAATTTAAAACCCGATTACGTACGTACATGATTTTGGTGGCGATACTAAGTAGGTCTATGACAGTATTTTAAATAAACTTGGATAATAAAGAATTCAATTTTCACTTATAATAATATATAGAATCAAGTAGTAAAAGGTAAAGCGCTTTATAAAAGCAGTTACGTCCTAAATAATGAAAACCTAAATATAGCTATTTTATAGGAATTTATGAGATTGTCATGTAACACTTTGTTATGAAATTTAGTACTTTTAGAAACAGTGTGAAATTTTCCGATACAAAGCAATTAAAATTGTATTTTCGCTAGTGTACTATAATGCCTGGTGCAAAAATCAAAATTTGATTATATCCTAATCTTTTATATTCTACTAAATATATTCGAGATCAATTTTACTTTAAATTTCTTTAATCACTTAGATCAACTAAACTTTCATTCAAGCGATGGTTTAGATTTAGGTGATCATTTACTTTGTTATTAAATTTGTGTATCGGTGTTGGTAATACCGATATTATGCATACGTAAGCACATACGTACGTGCGTACGTACTTATAAATACGGTGAATCAATTTCCTCCATAATTGCTTGTACGAATTTTATTAATCATGTCTCACAAATCTGAAGAGACTAATAATGAAGATCCAACAAAGCAAAAGATACCTAAAAAAACTAGTGAAGATAAGAACGAAGGTCCAAAAATACATTTAGCTGGTGAATATGATGGAAAATTTAATATTAATCAAGAAATACCACGTCATACTATGACTACAATTCAAACAGCAGGAGATGCAATTCAACCATTTTTACCATTTTTTTCACATGTAATTGATATTGTTAAATCATTATTGCAAACAAATGAAACAGCAAAATGTAACCAAAAAATTTGTTTAGCATTAATTGATCGTGTAGAAATTGCTCAACAAGCAGTAAATTCCTTAAAACGACAACAATTAGCAAATGAAAAACTTTTTCGAGATCAAAATTATTACTATGCTTGGGTTAGATTTATAACTGTTTTAGAAAATATTAGAAAATTTGCTAAAGAAATTACTCAATTATCAAGTTTACAAAAATATATAAGTGCAATGACTGTTAAAGAAGCTTTTGATAAAAACATAAAAGAATTTGAAGAAGTTTGTAATGATTTACATTTCACATTGGCTATTTATAATAATGAACGGAGGGAAATAGAAACTAAAAAAGTTATGGAAGATATAGATATTTTACTTAAGGTAAATAAAATTGATTATTATATATATATTTAATAAATTACTAACTTAACATATTTTTGAAATTATGGAAATAGAACATGGGTGAATTAAGTTCTGACATTAGACTAGTAATGAAAGAGTTAACCCAGTTATCAACAAATATAAGCGAATTAACTAAACAAATAGTTAAACCAGAAAGTGGTTCAATGGGTACTGAAGATACCGCAAAATTAAAATTAAATAATGCTTACAAAGCACCTGATATAAATCCAGCTGATCTTGAACCATATCATCTTAGTAATGAAACTGGAAAAAATATTATTAAAAGAGTTTATAAAGGCGTTGAAGTTGCCTGCAAAAAAATTCTTGTTATCGAAAATAATGATACTGTAAGGTCACAAATAGACCAACATGAATTAGCCATTCTTCTTAAATTGGGTTATTGTCCTTATATTATTGCTTTTCATGGTCTTTCGATAGTAGATAATAATCATGTTATGGTGTTTGATTGGGCACGAAATGGAAATTTAAAAAAGTTATACACGTACAATAATATTGATTGGCCTACTAAATTAAAAATTGCTCGTGATATATGCAATGGCCTTTTATTTATACATAGATGTAATATTTTACATCATGACATTCGTTGCGAAAATATCTTGGTAAGTTTTAAATTAAATGTACCTTTTTTATTAACTTGTTATTCTTTATTTACAATATAAAAAAATTTTTAGGTTACAGATGGATATGAGCCTAAAATTTCAAATTTTGAACTTAGTCATACTGAACATGAAAAATCTTTGGAAGTAAAAAGTATATTAGATCTAATCAGATGGTTAGCTCCTGAAAAAATGAGCAATGATTCAAAAAAACGGTATAATCTTAATAGGAGATACGACCATCATTGTGAGATGTTTAGGTATATACCAAATATATCTTAAATTATTTCTAAATATGTATATTGTTTTTATAATGCTTATTATAATCTATAGTTTTGGAATGCTTCTATGGGAACTTTGTCATCAAAGAATTCCGTATAAAGATATGAATACTGTAGCTGAAATTCAAGATCATGTCATGAGTCAAAAACGTGAAGTTATGGAAATACTTCTTCATCCTAATCCAATTCCACAATTACTTGCTAAAATAATTAGAAAAGGTATTTAAAATATTCCGTTATACATCAAGTTTTATATATTATCATCTAATCGATTGCAATCATTTTAAGCTTGGGACCATGAACCTTCTCAACGTCCAAAAGTCATGGAGATGCTATCAGATCTTAAGAATCTTTATGATTGTTATGTTCCTAATGGTACTTCACCAAAAGTACGTCCTAAGGGTGAAAGTGATGATATTCCTAGTTTTGCCCTTTCATCAACAACTAATAATCAAAAACCTAATAGCAACAAAGAAGAAAGTATTTTTGGTTTACCTGAAGATAGTGAAAAACTTACTTTAGACAATATTTCTGTCATACATACTTTAAGGCCTTTTGAGGATGGACATAAAGCACACCAAGTAAAAAAGTATGATGTTGCATGGGAATGTTTTTCTGGTTATGCTGAGTGTGGAAACAATTATGCAAAGTATTGGAAAGGCTATTATTTATTAAATGGTATCCATGTTAAAAAAGATGTTAATGCTGCTCTTAAACTCTTCAAAGATGCTGCTGATAATGGTGTTGTTGATGCTCAGTTACGATATGCATTTACTTTAATTGAGAATGGTTCAAAAACCTTTTCTGAAATAGTTAATTATATGACAATGGCTGCTGATAATGGAAATCCTACAGCTCTTTATAATTTAGGTGATATTTATCTAAATGGAAGATTTGGTGTGTCGGTTAATGAAATAAAAGGCAAAGAATGCATTAAACTAGCTGCTTTGAAAAATCAACCAAAAGCAGTTGCTTTTTTAGAAAAATTAAATGTTTCAAAATAGTCGTTTTCATGTTTATAAATTTTTATTTATATCTGATAGATGAAACTATTCTCGTTCAAATATTGAAGATAAAATCCTAGGTTTTTTCTAATGGCTATAATTTTATTTTCTCGTGTGATATATTATCTGTTATTGTTAAATCAATTTTTATATTTAACATGTTATTAATTTTTTTATGAGTGTATAAAATAGCATGTCTTATTATATTAAACTTCTATAAGAAGGCATTTTAAATCGAATATAAGAATACTGTATTTATTAAATATATGGAATTTGATTAAATTTACCTATATAAAACTTATACTAAACTTTTTTAATGTTAAAAGTTGTATACGGTACAAACAAAATTAAGTACCATTTTATGATTTATTATCGTTATAGTTCGATTCAGGTGATATAATTCAGACTATTGATAATCTTGTTGAGAAGTGTGTTCCTCCTGCTAAAAAAAAAAAAAATGCATACATCTATACATGGGTGTCTAAATTATTTTTTAAAAAAAGCAATTTCGACAAACATTTCGACATTGCTAGTTTTTTTACATGAATTCCACAAAGTAATTATACTACCTAATGTATTTTGACGTAAAGAATTCAAATAATTTCACTAAAAATTTAGACAACTATGAAATTTAATTTCGCCATTAAGAAAAATTAATTTCAACAGACTAAATGCCGAAATAATTTTTTATTAAGAGGAGTAATTTAGACACCCATGTATACATACATACATTAATATCCATGCAATATATACAATATACGTAGGTCGTTGAAAAATAATTCCCAATACCAGTAGAGTTATACACTGATATAGTTGCAGGTTTTCGTTTTGTGATACCGTGCATTCTCCCAGAATGATTTTATCAATAAATATATTAGTTTGTAATGACAAATTATAATACAAGCTTCAATTCGTGCAGCTCAATTGAAAGGATGGAGCCACCCTGAGCCGCAACTCAAACACCTCCCAACCGCAATCAGGAGTGCTGGGTGATTGAACACAGGCCGCAACCCCACCTAAAGAACAAGTTGTTCCTTAGACGCATCCACTTTCAACTGAGTAGAAAAAACCATTCGTACAGGACGAAACCACCCTGAGCCGCAACTCAAACATCTCCCAACTGCCATCAGGAGTGCTGGGTGATTGAACGTAGGCCGCAACCCCATCCAAAGAGCATGTTACCCTTCAGACCCGTCCACTGCCAATAGAATGAGTTTTTCAACTGCACTTTACATTACGTGATTAACGAATGTACTCCCTTAGAATGAAGAGTTATCAAATGTAAAATCGATAAAATAAAAACTTATAAGGGACCAATCGCGTCGAGTTTAAAATAATCGAGATTATGGTTGGATTTCTAGTAAGAAAAATAAACCAATGATTATGACAAGGTAAAAGTAGAACGTACTAAGAGTGTAATCATACTATCTATTATTTCACTTAACGTCAATGTACCCTTTTCTTCGTTTTCTTCTGAAGACATATGGGCTTCTTTGCTGAAACCTTTGATTTTTGCCAAATATGTTTACAAGATTGCTACAATATTGCTACAATGTAATTACAATATTATCAATGTTATAATATGATAAATATA